CCACCCTAATACAGTCTGAAACACTGGGAGATGGTTGCAGTTACTCTCCATATCAGAAGAACTAAAACAGATTCTTGAAATAAGATAATGCATCGAAAATACATTCAGAAAAAAAGGGAACATTTTCTGATTTTACACATATTTTTGTACAGATTTTATTTTCGGTAACAAACCATTTAATGTACTAAATAAAACAGACGGTATTAACTTCTTGTATTATTTGCTGTTACACTGAAAAGCGGGACTCATTTGTTGAATCGGACTGTACAGAATGCTGGTTGGAGAAAGGAAGTACGTCCGTGCATTTAATAACACTTTACAGCTCTGTGTTCAGTGTGAAATAATCAGAAAATGTACTTACTCGTGCTGGTCAGCGCTCCCTGTGTCAGCCATGTTTGTTGACTGTCAGAGTCACCATAGAAACCCTCATTCCCCCCAGTGCATTATGGGTCTTGGGTAGAATTACAAGTAGACACTTTGGGGCTGTTTGTGTAACTTCAGTCAGCGATGGAGAAGAGCAGCGAGTAATTTCTGTTTCCTACATCACATAAACTGTAACTCAGGAAAAAATAAAACACCACCAACTGACGATGTGTAAAATGGATCTTTGAGGAAATAAATTAAGATTTAGCAACTGGACAACATACAGTAGGACTGATGGAAGAAAAAATATTAATGTGTTTCCCTCTTACAGCTCCACATCATGTGTTTCTTTGCTGTATGGTCATATCGTCATTTTTTAAACTTCACCTGAATGTTTTTGTCCTCACTGTTAGATTTTGGAAACCAGATACTCCAAGACAGGGATGAATCTGGCTGATCATCACACTGCATGGCTGTCGTGTCTTTTTCATTTTAATAGGACCATAAATCACGAATTAAACATAATGCTGGTGTTTAATAAGACTGAGAACTAGTGACTGAGACCATAAACTAACCAGGAAACCGTTTACTGTGGTCACAGAACAAGGAAGCATAGAATTATTTCGCCATAGACCTCTATGTAATCTCATTGTAACCAGAGATGTTTCCCTTAGGACACTTGAGCTTTGGCTTTACTTGTTTTAGACTCTAAAGTGACACTCAGCTTTTATTTACAGTTTTGCACAGAAGTTAATCCAGAGGACCCGGCATGCTAAGGGATTGATTTTGGGACTAGCTATAAAAATATATGCACACAACAAATAAACCTTTCTAAATTTCTGTAAAAATGTGAGTAAAGTTTTCTGTAAGTTAAGTTTGTTTTTTAAAGGTTAAGCTAAGTAGCAAGTCGGGTAGCAATGTAGCGACAACCTCTAGAAGACAAGGAGCTGATTGGCTGATAGGTCAGAAGACAACTAGCTAGTTATGTCACAATCTTTCCCTATAACCATACTGAAAGATATATCCTGCTCACTGTACATTTTCTCTCAATAATGTCCCATCCATGAGCATTTTATAATAGGCTTAGTTTCTTTGCCTACCGTGGCTAAAAAATCAGATTGCAATTCTGTTCCCTTAAAAACAGACTTCATGTGTATCCTTATATGTTGTAGGAAAAAGTGTTGTTTGGGAGTAATGCGATGTGCCAGGCTCACACTAAAATAGGCATGTCACACAACTGAAATATACAAATCATGGTGAGAGGAGGGGTTTTTACATAACTAGCCCTTTTCATTGCACCATTTTGTCAATTTAATTAATAGTAGCCTAAATGAAAAATAAATACCAATAATACCCATCATGACATCATAACACAGCAATTTATAGTGCAGAATTATCAAAAATCACAATTCTTATAACCAATTTCAGTTTAAAACGAATCTTCAAAATCGGTCTTATTTTGTGACTGACTGGAGTTCCTTCAGCTCCTCTTTTTGCACCTCTGATGGCAGGAAGAGTAAAGCAGAGAAGAAGAGAAGCTATGCAAGCTGAGAAATGACAAATGTTTTTGCAGTAAATGTAGCTGTACATAATAACTGTATGCTAGTACTTTTCACTGTCATAAAGTTAGTATATAAAGAGTAACTGTGAAGTGTTAATGTTTGAGGCAAACCGCAACATTCTTTCTGACTTTGGCGCCACCCAGTGGTCATATTAAGAACAACACAGATGACGGCACATCCCACTGGAACTGTTTTGTTTCATAATTCGCAAATTTAAAGATTATTTTCAACAGAAGATTTTTTTTCTGTGTGCAATTAATTTTTTTGTTAATTCTAACCACAAAAATGTTTTATTTTAGTTTGAACTATTTCAAGCTTACATGTAATTTATTTATCTTATTGATTTTACTAGGAATGAAGTAGTGGAAGTAAATGTGATTTTTCAGGAACATAATGCAAACAGAAAGACAAAGGGGTATAAAGTATATTAAGAGAGGAAGGTTCAGTTTCTAAGAAAAGTCTTAGAAATAAAAGAAATACAAATATTAGAAGCCTTGGTTTGTATGGCATTATAGCACTGAGTATTTTATGTTGTATTTTGTTAATTACACATGAGAAATGGCAGTGAATACACCACTTAAAAGTTGGGCTTGCTTGGGGGAAAAACAGTTCCACGCCTGTCGCCAAAATGAACAACCTTGGGCTTCAGAGACACTTGTGGAAGAATCTTGAAATACACAGTGATATTTATTTATAAAATTAGTGGTAATCCCAAAAAGTTGCGTTTTGCAGCAACCAAATAAGGACAAATGCAGTCTGCATTACGATCGCGGCTCAAGAGTTGGCAGTTTGTCTTGTAACCGGAAGGTTACCGGTTCGAGCCCCGGCTCGGACAGTCTCGGTTGTTGTGTCCTTGGGCAAGACACTTCACCTACTGGTGATGGCCAGAGGGGCCGATGGCGTGATATGGCAGCCTCGCTTCTGTCGGTCTGCCCCAGGGCAGCTGTGGCTACAACTGTAGCTGCCTCCACCAGTGTGTGAATGTGAGAGTGAATGAATAGTGGAATTGTAAAGCGCTTTGGGTGCCTTGAAAAGCGCTATATAAATGCAATCCATTATTATTACAAATTTCACTTCATTTTGACCATTTAAAGATATCAAATTACCTTTATTTTTGGAAGAATCTATTTTACACTCAAGCGGCAAATTCTAGGACTGAAAAATTAAGAAACACTGAATTTTCCAGTAGCTGCAGTTGCTCAAGTGGCCAGATGAAACTAGTTCTAAAAGTGAGTCAATTCCAGTAGACTCATACTTTCCAGTCTTCCAATTCTGAAGCAAAAATAGACATTTAACACATTCTCCCTGGATAGCAGCTACAACTGATCCACGTGGATAGTGTGTCAGTGGCGTGCTGTGTTTTACAGGTGTCCTGACACAGGAAGTTGCACCTGATGTCTGTCTGCTGGGCTTTGTTCTTCACTAATTCAGTTCACTGAACTGGCCCTATCCTCTGTGTTTGTGCTGTTTGTTCCTAATTGCAGGTGCCTACATCTGATAACTTAGCACTCTACCATGTCATTCTAATGTGATCACTTCTGTCTAATAAAAACAAAAATGCTAAAGCTAAGGCTTCATAAAGTGGTCCAAAACCAATTGGTGACATCATCATCATAGTAATGTTCATAATAAATATACAGTCTGTGATTATAAAGTGCTTCACACGAGGCAAAACTTCATAACAGTGAGTAGCATAAGTCCATAGTTTGCCTGTGATGATATTTAATGCCATAAGTAGCAATGCTAGCAACTAATGGTATTAAATGGAAATGCTTCAAAAACAGTTAAATTATAGTATGCAACACTTTGTATCATGTGACGGGATTATCTCTCTGTACCTTTGAAAATGGTTGGTCCAGTGTATCCTCTGCAAAACGAGGTAACATATACTTGTAAAGCAGCAAAGCACCTTTACTTTCCTTTTCTTTTTCTAGGAGAATTTGGCCATGGCCTCCAGCTATGGCCACCACCTGCGTTCTGGTGTTTTAATTTTTGAGCAGAATTCATTATTTGAATGTAAACTTTTTTGCTTTATTTTTGGTAAAATATCAGATTTAGACAGAAGTGTTGAGCTGGCTCAGACATCACTGTAACAAGTTTACTGAAACAAGTTCAGTAAACAGAAATGTTTCCACCTTTAAATCATCAAATGGTCATTTGAAATGCCAGAGGCTGGCACAGGTTTAGCAACTACTCAACAACAGCTAAAGATGGTTTAACTATGACCAAGTTGAACACCAGGGTGCACCCCCACCCATGGGTGGGGTGCACAAGTTGCAACGCGCATTTGCGTACATAAGATTTTCTGGAGGACAGACATTTATTCAGAACTCGATGTTGAAGAAGCAAGCTCCTTTAAGCAATTACTTCGGTGTTTCTCCACCTCCAAAGAAATGTCAGAAGGAGTCCGACCTGCAAAAGAAGCGCGTATTCTCGGAAAAGTGGTTCCTCTAGCGGACTAAAAGGCTCTGTTTTGGGATTTTCACTGCATATTCTGCACCACATCTCTGTGTGTTCAAAATTTGTTTCATCATTTGTCCGGACTCCTTCTGTAATTGCTTAAAGGAGCTTGCTTCTTCGACATATTCCTAAACAAATTTCTGTCGTCCTCCAGAAAATCTTATGTACGCAAACGCTCGTTGCAACCTCGTATCTGGTGCGTGTCTTTTATTTTGAAAGCGCATGCGCACCTGCGGACCACTTATGTGCAGCCCTGCAAAACAGTTCAAATTTCACCAGAGGGGACCATTTTTAGCATTAATCTTTCTCTCTTTTAAAAGGATTTATTTTGTGTGTATCATTATAGTTGCTGCCCTACAAAGACAGACAATAGTACAGGAACTTGATACCAATGTCAGGGAGTTTCTGAAAAAACTAACATAGAATGCTGCTGTTAATGCTAGCTGTGACTTCACTTTCAATTACACATTTGGAGCACAAAAAGTCTTGAAATAATACAAAAGTATGTAAGTAACAAATATAAACCCAGACGTTGGGTATATTTGACCAAATATATACAGTAGTTACTGTATTTTGGCTTCATAGGGCAGAATACATTCCAGTAGTGTTATTTTTTTTAATAACAAACATACATATTTACACTATATTTACAAAAATAATATATATGACTTTCACTGTGCTTATACTGGTTTTCTGTACTTTCAGGCAGCTTCCTCCAGCAGTCTTTGCAGGTTCTTCTGCACCTGAAAGAACAAAGTTTGCTTTTGCTTAACTGTAAACTGTATTGGCAGAAAACTCGACTGCAGATAAGTGCATCCGATGATATTGCTTTGCAATGTTTGTCTTGGTTAGTAAGTGTAGATTTCAAAATGAAGCCTGCTCCTGTTTATCTTGTTGTTAAGGTCATTTCCTTGTTCCTGTTGAAAGCTAGAGACTCAGACTTGAAGCAGTTGAAACAGCAGTTAGGGTCATGTCTTATCTGTTATAACACAGAAGATGTGGAGAACAGTACCAACATCATTGACACGTTTATTATTCTGAAGCTGGAATAATCTCTGTGCAGTCAGTCTGCAGAGAGATCAAGTAGACCACTGCAGACACATGGAAACCATAGACTGTATATAAAAGATGGAGGTATCCATCACGACAACATTCATGAGTTTTCACTAATTTTGACGACCACTTGATTTGAGTAAAAGATGAAGTTAAATAATGCTTATTTAACAAAGTAGTGCAATTAGCAGATTTCCATGAAGCCAATGGAAGTGCAGAAAACTGCAGTTCTTCCAAACATGAAGACTGATGTTTATTTCTAAAACATGTTTACAGGCCTAACTCTTTTTGGCAGCTGTGCATAGTTTCTCCCTTCCTAGCAATTTAAATTCAAATCATCTCTTTCAGTAGCGGGTTTAATGTGAAATAAATATTTCCAGTCAAGTTCCAGTTTTCATTTCACTCAGGATCAAGATGGACTCTACAGTCTGACACAGCTCTGAGACTTTACCACCTTTTTGCTGATGAAAATTTTCTTTATTTTCCGTCTAAAACACTGAGGCGGCTGTCAGCTGCTGCTTTTTGTTTGTAAGGAGACGAATGTCAGCCTGAAATATAAATGGAGTGTAGACTGATGGAGCTCTTCTTACAAATGATGCTCTAAACTGATCACTGACTATAAATGTTTGATCAATGGCAACAGGCATCCAGTTACACTTTGCTCTTTGGAAACTGCTGAAGCCTTCCTGCTGTGTGCTTTCAGAGGCTCATGAAAGAAACTCCTGACAACACATTCACGCAATTTTTAAAGGTGACCTGTTATGCTTTTCCTTAGTTTTTTTGAAGTGTATACACTTGTAGTCATGGCCCAAATGTCAAATAATGAGATCTGTGTAATCCCAAAGTGAGTAACTCAGGCTTCAGACCTCTAACTGCTCAGATTTGAACATTTTTTTAAATTATCAATGGGGATTATAGTATATCCGGAGGGCTGTATCTATCAACACTTGATCTGAAAAAACAAAGACAGACCAACCTTCTCCAGCTTCATCAGGTTGATGGTTAGCAGTTCAGATAAAAGATTTGTGCCTACGTCAGCGGACCCACTCAGAAAATTGTTTCTGGTAATAAAACACAAAAATAATCACCATGAAAATGATTTAAAATCTTCACAAGGGTCAGATGTATCTGCAAAAATCTAATATGAATAAATCAGAGAAAAGTAAATCTTGTAGATTATTGTACCATAGTCCTTGAGACGAAATAAGGAAACCATTTCATGTCTGTGAATCCACTGTTGCCTGTTTAGTTTGGATCATTAGCTTCATTATTTGGGCTATTTTTAAATTTGTTTTGTGAGGATGTGAATAAAATTCATCGTGATGCTTTTGCAGTTTTTGTTTCTCTTTCATCTGGTTATCATTTCCATGTCTAATTTCTCACTTTTTCAACCTTCTTATTTAAGTTTTCTAGAGCTTGTCAGAGTCTCAGACAGTTCGACGACTCACTCCGGGTGTGCGAACTCGGCCACAGCGCCGAGCGTTGTCAGTCTCTGCTCCAATGAGATGATCTTAAACGCCAGGTAACATGAAGACAAGACCAGGGTGCACACTCTGAGGAAAAACACATGTAAAAGAGAAGATGAGCAAAATGAGGCTAAAATGCGCTACAAATGAAAATGTAATGATAAACTGAAATTAATGTGCATCCAATGAATGGATGGAATAAATCCGCAGATCATATAAGTGATCAGCTTAATTTCCAATTAGGACGAGTGACAGAAAAATCCTTTACTGAAGACATGAATGAATCAAAGCAGCAAACTTACAGGAACATGTAGACCATCAGCAGAGTGTTGAGAGAAACTGGCTTCAGACACCTGCTGTCAATCACCACATCCGAGCCTGAAGAAAGATCAAACAAATATGTCTTTGTTTACGACAAAAAGACACAAAGTAAAATGCCCTACGCGTGTGAGAGCAGCGCTGCATTAAAAAGGCTGGAATAGACTGCTTCATCAACTCATAGAAATCAATATGAAAAGGAGTCATTATAAATCTAAGCAAGAAAAGAAGTGGAGCTAAAGAGTTATGGTTGGATAAGCAGATGGAAGAATGGATCATATGGGCGTATTTTTCATTAATATGGAAGAAGCAGCACGGTGACACGATGGTTAGCTGTGTTGCCGCACAGCAAGAAAGTCCTGAGTTCAATTCCACCATCAGGCCAGGATCTTTCTGTGTGGAGTTTGCATGTTCTCCCTGTGTTTGCATGGGCTCTCCCTGGGTCCTCCAGCTTCCTCCCACAGTCCAAAAACATGCCATTAGTGGGAAAGGTTTTTTGGAAACTCTAAATTGCCCATAGGTATGAATGTGAGTGCGAATGGTTGTCTCTATCTATGTGTTAGCCCTGCGACAGACTGGCGACCTGTCCAGGGTGTACCCTGCCTCTTGTCCCTACAGCTGGGATAAACTCCAGCGTTCCCCGTGACCCTGAAAAGGATAAGTTGAAGTGAATGGATGGATGGCAAATATGCAGGAAATTTGGGCAGCTGTGAGGGATTCTGGGTAGAAGATATCTAATGCATTTAGAAAAAATATTTATCCAGGTGACGTATTTCTTTATTTAGAAACTAATGTTTCGTGCAACCCATTTTGCCAAATCTCCTCTGCAAATGTGCAAAATTATGACCAATACAGACGCTGTTAATAACAAATAAAAAAATCAAGTTTACTGTTGGTACATGATAATATTATTATTTGACAGAAACAGAGAGTTTTTTTTTTCAGTGATAAATATAGATCATTCAGGACTACATTTATTTATATTTGACAAGTTTGTGTTCTGGGAAATCCCCGCAGGTCAGTTTGCATACACGACACATATGAGATCACAATCGGTGCTTCTTTGCACCTCAGCTCACCTCTCGTGGCTTTTAGAGTTAAATGTTGTTGAATTGTGGCGTTCTCAGACTGACTCCTTAATCCTGAGTACAGCTGAGGATATTTTCATTTTACCGCTTCTAAAAGCGATTTTTTATTTTACTGTTACAAAGTTAGCGGCAGTTTATATTTGGCTGTAAAAATAGAGGTGGGGAGAGCAGCAGTACAGGACAGTGCAGGCAGCAATGTCAACAGAAATAAGTCCAAACAGAAGGAGCTGAGTCAGCTAAACTTGAGCCAATGCTATGATGAGTTTGACCAAAAAGAGAAATAAAATGTAGGGACTAAAATAATAAAATTATAAATTCATAGTCCTATGAGAGGTTCAGTGCCAGTGGTTTAAATAAAAGTGATGTTTAAACTAACACGACCCTGATTAAAGACTCATCCTACCTCGGTGGTGCTTGGAGTGCTGCTTGTTGTCTGGACCCTGCTGGTTCAGATGTGGGTTCTTCACTTTGTGCTGGTGGTCTGGAGATGATGCACTGTCTGTGCGCTTCAGCATATCCAGGAATGGAGGAACGGTGAACTCTATAGAAGCAAAAAGGCAAGCAAAGCATTCAAAACTGGAAACCCAGGGCCTGTTATGACTTGGGGCAGGTTTGTAATCCCGATTAAGTCCTCTTGAGAAAGACACACTAAGTATGTTTGAATAAACCCTGCACTACAAGCTGCTCATTTTCAACTTCATCACAGCTGTGTGTGTGTGTGTGTGTGTGTGTGTGTGTGTGTGTGTGTGTGGGGGGGGGTGGGGGGGGGGGGGTTAAACGTCAACAAAAAATAAAGAGTAAAGAAGGAAAATTATAGCAGCACTAAGTAGCACAGGTCAGATTCTGCTACTGAAGTGCAAAAGTGGTTCAGGTTTTGTGAGTAAAACATTGACGGCCACAGACGATGCATGCGATGATGCATGCGACGATGCATGCGACGATGCATGCGACGATGCATGCGACGATGCATGCGACGATGCATGCGACGATGCATGCGACTGCTTCTAATTGGTCAGTTGGACAGCGATGCAGTACCTTCTGTCTTCTCATAGTCTGGAACCTGAGAGTCAGAGCTGCTGCTCTCCTCCATCTCCTGCCTCCTGTGTCTCATCGCTCCATCCAGGTCGCTGAATTCACTCTGCAGAAATTCACAGACACAGAGAGAGTATAACTAGCAGGCACTAGCAGCTGCTTCACCCCTTCATCCAAACATGAGCATATCTATCATATCGATCGTATCTGTACTGAAAAAAACTTCACATTTTCCTACAAATGATATTTTGATTGGAGCAAACAAAAACAAAAGTGAATAATAATAATAAACATTTAAAAAATGGTTGAACCCAAGATTCCAGGGTGGAAATAGGAAATGACAATTCACTTTAGTTACATGAGAACTTAATGCTTTTAGAAAGCTGCAATTTAATTCAACTGATTTCTGTTGTAGTTCTGCTTTTATGAAGGTTGTAAATTTTCATTATTTGTGCAAAAGACTTCTAAAAAACCCTCAAACTATCTGAAACAATATTTTATACGTTAAAAACTAAAATAAAATCTAACATCCAGTTGCTGATGTTCTTGTTGCAGATGTTGCTGCAGAAACTGGATGTCGGCTTCGCTGTGTCAGCTAATTTGATCTTTTATCTTAACTTCCAAAATGTATCCCTTGGCAAATATCCCATGTAATATAATATTTAAAAAGTCTAAATCCAACAGCTAAACTAATATAAACTAAACTGTAATTCAAGACGTTCAAACAATAATAAGTAAAATGAAAGGAGCCAACACACATGGGAAATTAACTGAAAATAAACTGAACTTGAAGCAAAAACACAAAACATATCAATCAAAAGTAATTAAAATGATAAAACTACAATAACTCACCTACAACCTCAACATTAAAAGTAAATGATTATTTGAAACACATTTGCTTTGTGGAGTTTATGCAGTTGTATTAAATTGCACAGGCACTCTAAAAGCATCACTTTTAGAGATAAAGACTTTTGGGGTCAGAGAAAACACAAAATGAATTAAAATGGGAAAAGTAACATTTCAAAGATCCTGTTTGGGGATAAAGTGGCCAAAAATAAATAAATACATAAAGCTTTAGCCACAAGGACCTGGGGCGATTGATACTGACATCAGGAAGTGTCTCACAGGACAGCCTTCTCTCTTGGACACAGCTTTGTTGAATGCATAAACACAACATGCAACAAATATCCAGTTGGAACATATGCAAAATGTTACTAAACGATTTGCCAGCTGGCTCCGGCTCTCATGCAGGGAGTCTTTTTTTCTGAACAGCTTCTGTCCCCATAGGTCGAAATGCTTAGTTGCCACGTTACAGCTCCAGCTCTCGAGGATATTGGTTTTATTTCACCTCAAGTTTGATGTGTTAAAATATCTTTCTGTCAGAAAAGAGACCAGAGAGACAAGTGCGAGGATGGACCCAAAAGCATGATGCTTTCTTATTCTTATATCTTTTATCATATGTAGGCAGGATGAAAACAGTATCCGTTGTATCAGGAAACTTTATGGCATTCGGCTGTTTGTGTTTTTGCTGTGTTTGACCCACCAGAGGAAAGCGAGGCGATAGCGGTGACCTCCGACTTCTAAAGCTGTTTTCAGCTGAGGAGGGAATGGGGCTGCTGCATGGACTCTTCCCCTATTTATATTCATGTAATACATAACCAAACATCATGTGTTTAAATGATTCAAACTTATTTAAAATGAATAACATAAGAAAGCGCAAGAGTAAAAAAGAAAATTATCTGAAACTGAGTGTTTAGTTTAAAGCCAGAGTTTTCGGCTCACAATGTCTACCTGTTGATCACGAGCAGTACATACATGACAGAAAACAAGGAAGCATAACACATCTGTATGGATCTAAATAAAAAGCCTTTCCTACCTCCAGATGAGGACAGATCGACATCAAAAACTTGTAGGTGTTGTCTCTGGACAAGAAGGACACAAAGACGTACTGCAACACCAGAAATAGAAAAAATGTCTTTTGGATACTTTTCCACATGTGCAAAAATACTGTGTTTTTTTCTTAATTCATCAAATCGTGGTGAGAAGCAGCGAGATTTCTCTCACCCTGTCATTTGTGGTGGCGATCACCAGAGCGTTTGGCAACAGGATGGCAGTTTTGGTCTTCTTGATGTTTTTGATGGACACCACTGGGATGGCGACCTGGGACACAGAGCAGTTCGATCCTTCATACCAGCTTTGAAACCAGAGAAAAAGATTCACGCACCTGTAGGCCGGCTTCACTGTGACAGAGCTGTTCACTGACCTCCGTCAGCTTTAATCATCACCATCTATACACATTAACTGCAATTACATTCTCAGCCTAGATTGATAGTTCCAGATGTTTCCCATACAGTAACAGATGTAAAACAATCCAGTCGTGACCACACAGCAGCAAGGTGTCATCTGCATGTGTTCATGCATGCAGCAAAATATTAGTCCCTCTGCAGACTGTACCTGCAGGCTGCGTGTGTGTAAACACAGCTGGCTTACAAAATAAAGAATAATGCGCTACAGTACCCGCACAATATCAATATCCACTTAGCATGTCCCTTCATGGAGGAAAAAGTCTTTTTTTATTGCAGAAGCACTGCTTGGATCAAAATGTGGCAAAAGTATAGACATTATTTACTTAAGTGGAAGTCCAGATATTTAAAAAAAATACTCCTGCAAAACTGAAGTAAAAGTGAAAAAGCAAAGGCTCTCAAAAGTGCTCAAACGTCCTCTATTCATAAAGCAAAGCTCCATGATTGTACTGCCAAAACAACGACACACTTATTATTCAATTAAATTGTGTTGATAAAAATCAAATTGAGGTTAAAAATCTTATTTTACATCACTGAGTTCTTCTTGGTCTCAAGTGTTGTGTAACGGATAAAACTGACTGTTTGCTGCTTTCTGAACGACAGCAAATTGTTCTGCTTTCTGTGAAACTTCTCCAGGTAACTGTTAAATAATTTAAACCGACATATCTCATCAAATCAAACGGCTGCTGCTGGCACCTCACTGTGTTCGCCACTTTAAACAGCATCAACACAACAAAGACTCTGACACCCGCGTGGAACCGAGAAACACCACTGAAAACATCTGTGGATTCTCCTGAAATCTCTTTCAGATTCTCAGCCTTTTCCTGTGAGCTGATACAAAACAGACATCAATGCATACCTTGGTATCTTTTCCAAACACCTTGGAGTGGAAGCAGATCCAGTGGTCGGAGACAAACATGCGTCCTTGGTAGAGGATGTCTTTCTGAAGAGCACAGGTGTAACCTAGCAAACAAGTAAAGCACATTAAAAAAACACATTATTTTTAGATGTTTGTGAGGAAAAAAACAAGAAAAGACCAGTTCAGTGTTTGTATTGAACAAAAGAGTTTGATAAAGTTATTATTGGACTTTGAATTTACACTGTAGTCCTATCATAGGGATTCTATTATTATCAGGTGGTTAACAAGAGGCTCTGGTATCAAATGTTCAACTATGACCTAATCCTTCATTCAGTATTTAAGGTGGAGTGGATAGCTGTGATCATTAAAGACTTACTCTGTCTGAGCTGTTCTTCTTTGCTGATCTCCTTAAATATTTTATGGTACTGGCAGTTGGTCTTCGAAAGCTGAAATACAACACACACACACACACACGCACGCACGCACACACGCATGCGTGCACACACACACACATATATCAGTTAAAGCTAAGGCTGACATTTGGATGAATTCTTATCGGAGAAAAGTAATAAATAAATGTGGCTTTTAAAACTTACGGTACTCTCAGGAGAACTACAGAGCATTTATTTATGGGATTGTTGTTTTGCAGCAGTGTATATCTATATGTTGTTAGACAGAGAAAAAGCTCTAGTTCCACTCCATCATAGAAACATCACCCATACACCAAAATAAGCTTGTGCGTGCGCTGGCAATCATGGTGTTTAAATCATGTGGTGGATACCAGTTACAGTTTAGAATTTATAAGACATTTTTGCAAGAGAATTGCAAAGGACATTTTAGAGAAATGCATTTTTAGACCAAATCAGGAAAACTTAACCAAATAACTGTGGTATTAAGTTAAACCAAACCGACTGGCTTAGGCATTTTCAACCATTTACAAAGTATAAAGATATTTTTTGTAATTAATCTCGAGCTAAAACGTTCACCTCTAGGGAGCAATATTTTACCCCTGGACATGTGACGCTGTTGTTTTAACACTCGTGTCCTTAAGACGTTTTGCCTTTTGCGCTGTGAAAAACAATGTGCTTTTAATGTTTTGCATGGTTAAATAAAGACCACATTGACTCACTGCACCATCATGTAGCATTACACGAATGTTTATTCGTGTTCTAGCTCTTCAATGCAATATGCAGATATTTTGGACATGAAAGCATAGCTTAAAATATAAAATCATTTTTAAATATACAAATTTAGACTAAGTATCTTTAATACTGGTGGAATCATTAACCACTTTATAAACACTATAAAGCTTTTCTTTTCTTTTCTTTTCCTTTGGACAAACACTGATGTATCGTAATCCTTGTGGTGTGTTAACTTTGTGTGTTACAATCCAGCTGATCAAGAAAATAGCTTTGAATAAGCTATAGCTAACAAGTCATTAGCCAATTAATCTATTTACTAACAAGTTATTAGAAAAAGTTATTTTAAAGTTTTAAATTCTTTCATTTGAAAGTGTACAAAAACCTCTTTGTGAAAACTGATTAGAAAAATAATTTTTGAATTCTTAATTGACTTTCAAATGCCTAAAAAGTACCAGATATTATTATTATTATTATTATTATTATTATTATTATTATTATTATTATTATTATTATTATTATTATTATTATTATTATTACCCATTGTCTTTGTGAACAAAATTTAAAGCAGCAATTTAGTGATGTTATTTAAACTTTCGTTCCTCACATTGGTTTGTGGTGCCATGTCAGAACACTGGATGTGTTAATGTTGGCGTCATGAAGTAAAGGAAGGACCAACCAGAAGGAGGCCTGACCCACAAACTGTTTATAACCTGATACATTTCTAAGATAATAAGGTTGCTTGGAAAAAAGCGAGTCAGCAGAAATTTTATCTGATATTACTCATTTGGAAACCAAGTGACCGAGAATGGCCTACATGTAACATTTATAGGTGTAATAAAATATGTATCAGAGTTTACTTAATGACCTCTCACCTGGCTGTAGTGAGACTTCTTCCTCTCGATCTTGGAGTCTGGGTCTGTCTGCACCTGAGTCAGGAGAGAATGGTCGAAGGTCTTTGACCTGAGGACAGAGAGAAATTTCAGAGAGAGGATTTAACATATTACATAGCCAATAAGACAGAAGATAAACAGAAGTCAGCAACCTTTGGTAAACTAATTTTAGTGTATTTAAGAACAATAGCAGCCTGCTGTCGATTCCTGACATCATACTTTTATGAAAACCAGGAAATATTCAAATAATTCGAGGCTGGAGAAAAAAATGTTCTAATCAAAATATGAAGTTGAAATGATTAAGATTATGCTCTTTTTTAGGACAGCATTATAATTAAAGCTGAAGCAGATTAGCACCATCATATGACTCCTTCGTTCAAAAAATTGGATTTTCTTTGAATTTATGCTTGAAAAAAACCACAATTCAGAAGTCAATTTGTTCAAATGGTTCAAAACAACCTGCAGTCATTGTTCCACTGTTACACATTTTGAGGTTAGGGAAGATTGCTGCCTAAGATAGTGGGAAAGAGTCAAAGGTCAGATTATTATTCTGAACAATGAGGAACCTTCTGAGAGTCAGATCATGGTGAGATTAAAGGTTTCTGTGGGTGCTGAGCATGAAGTCAAACAACACTTTGTGGAAAACTGATCATTCATCAATCCATCAGTGCATTTTCTTGTTGTGGTTGCAGCAGGTTTAACAGGATATTCCAAATGGTCTCGTCTCCAGCAACATTTTCCACTTCCTCCTGTGGGATCCCGAGAAGCTCTCAGGACAGATTAGATTATCGTTCTGGGTCCACCGCCACACCAACTTATTTCAGTCATATCATTTATTCAGTCATTACCCAGAAGTCATGATCATACGTGAAAGTTGTAACATGAAATGATTGGTAAGGCAAAACCTTAATTTTCACATTTAACTGACTCATCACCACAATGATCTGGTACAACGCCTGCATTGCTGTATATGCAGCAACATTCAGCATCTGACGCTCTGCTGTCCCATCACTCTTGTATAAGAGCCAGAATAATTAAACTCCCCGAATGGGGCAGCAAGTTCCTCCCAATCCAGAGTGAGAAATCTACTATTTACTTGATCAGCTGGATTGTAACACACAAAGTTAACACACCACAAGGATTACGATACATCAGTGTTTGTCCAAAGGAAAGGAAAAGAAACGAAAAGAAAAGAAAAGAAAAGAAAAGAAAAGAAAAGAAAAGAAAAGAAAAGAAAAGAAAAGAAAAGCTTTATAGAAAACATCACACAAGATATAGAATTTACTCTAATCAGCAAAAGTCCCGTTTACATTCAGAGGATAGAAAGTGTCTTGGAATGGACTGAGATATAACAGCATTGCAGAGGTCAAGAATGGAAAATGTGTTGTTTTCTGGTGAATCCCAGTTAACGAATAAGACCAAAAGGAGCAAATATTATACCATAATGTACCTTTAGTCGTATTATGGCTTGTCACAAGGTTATTTAACTCAACCTTGGAAGTGGGTAACTATTTGTACTGTGGTTGTTTGAACCTTACAGACTTTGAACGTCTGGTGACCAAAGGGCAAGCTAAAATTTCAAGGTAAACCTATATTCATAACTGGGCATATTTGGACCTAGCATGACGTCTGAATTTCATATGCAACAATCTAAACAATACAAAGATATTTATGGATAAAAACCAGAGAAAAACGTTTGTAACTTACCTGACTAACACTGGCTTTCTCCTCCCTGTTAGCTCCTGCTGCTCCTGATCAGCAGCCTGCAGTGGTTCACTGCACATCCTGCTCAATCTTTGCTGCTCCTCTGCCACAGCTTCTGTATCTGAACTACACACGAAAGGGAAAAGTGAAATGAAACCCAAAATCATACTGTCCAAGAAAAGTGGGAATCAACACAACATGCAAAGATTTTTTTTCTTTGGTATTTTGTTTTGTTTTGTAACTCTCTGGAGTTTTACGTAAGGAAAAACCTGCAATAGCACATCTTGCTTTCTTGTCCAGCTGCAATACAAAAGCCAAGTTTCCCAACTTTCTGTTGTGACATTGCAAAACAATAGATAACACCTTAGATATCGCTCAAGGTGAAAATTTCCAAGCGATTAATAGATAAAGCAGAATTTTTACAAGTCAAGAAACCCACCATGGTGCCAGTCAATCACGAATCCAACAGTTTGGTAAGTAAACATAAAGAATCCAGACAGCTAATTATGAATAAAAGTCAACCTTCATAAAATGTGCATCCCTCATTATGCATTTTCTTTCTTTGCAGTGAAGGTTGTGTGATGAATATCTAAGTCTCCTGGGGACCTAAAGACTCCATATTCACCATGTGGTAAATTCACGACTGAATCATTTTAATTCATGCAATTCCAAAAGCTGACAAGCCAAGAAGATCTGTCAGTTAATCAGTCAATAATCTGAGTGATTGTTCTGCTATTCAAAAACACATGAGTACTGCTATAACTTTAACTAATGCAACCAAAACAGCTAACACAAATATCTGTGTGACGCTGCCTTTTGTACTCTAGAGATGTTTTTGTTTTTACAGCCACAGACTCACTGAGAATCCCTTTCTTCATGCTTTGCAGCTCCTCTGCTACATTTCCTGGCATCCTCCTGCGACGTCTGCTGGTTCCCACACTGTTCTGTCATTATGCTCAGCAGATACTTTCCAAGCAAACGCTCAGCTAGACGTCCTGACTGCTGCCGTGAGAACTGCAGCCTGATCCGCTGCTCCCTACGCCTACCTGCTAGCCTGTCTGTGGGAGTGTCCTTTGGGCCCCTCGGTTTCACATGTCACAGCCAACCAGATCACAAAAGGGTGAAGTGTGTGTTTGTGTGTGTTCGAGATGTGCGCATTTGAACCTTTGATCAGTGACATTTTACTCGGCTTTGTTTGTGTTCCTAAACTTAAAATGGTCTCATAATCAATCTAGTTTTATTTGCACAGGAACAATACTTCTACCTTCCACTTCTGTCTAAACAGGGTGAAATCGGATCTGGTTCCCTTTGCTGAGGAGAAATGATTTCACGTGTTCAGCCCGTTGTATCCCCGTATCCCTGCCGACTTTCTTCATGTTGAAATGTGTATGTTTGTTTTCCAGTGGGGAATTAGAACGCTGCACGGAGAAGCCCCTTAAAGATTTAAGAAAAAGCTGGATTGGATTGGAAATAGACCCACATCTTAATTTCTATAATTTATAATCCCATTTTTATCTCAGAAAATGTCCCTCCTGTTGGCATGATTTACAGCATTCAATCTTTAAAACATCTGTAGTTGCACGACGAAAAATTTATATAAGTAGTATTTACACGGGCTGCATGCAGCCTGCACTCAAAACTACATGTTGTTGCACAAAACTGTAACTCATTACATTACAGTTAATCTGATTAAAGTGCTGGTAAGAAACGAGGACCCAACAGTTCAGGTTCAGATGTTTTTTTTAACATGTTGATCTCCTCACTCAGCCGGAGTGAGGATACACGATCCAGCTGTTGTTCTGGCCGTGTGTGTGTGTGTGTGTGTGTGTGTGCGCGCACACTGCAGTGTACGTGTGTAATGAGAGCTCTCAGCTAAGGATTGGTTGGTCATGAAAACAGTCTGTCTAAACACGTTTTATCAATACTTGTTTGGATTTAAAGTGTTTAGCTTATATATCCTTAATAAATTCCTGATTGGTGCACGATTCCTGTGCACCAATGACACCATTTTAATTATGGCAGAAAATACTTCCTGTATGAAGCTAAAAGTGCAAATAGCTTGGAGAAAGGACCAAAGTGGCTTCGGTCTTTAACATTTAATGTTTAAAAACACACGCACAAAAACTAGACAATTCATAGTCAAAAAAGCTTCAAGATGGTGTATAAAAATGTATGTTGAATAAATAAAGATGACTGGCTCTGGGGTGTCATACTCATCTCAAGTGGGCCAGACCATTAAACTGATGGTAAAATGACCTTTTTTGCGTAAAGAAGTAAAAGTAACCATGCAGTTACAAAATGATGAACAGCCCTTAAAAAACAGTACGTCTCATTTCATGTACATTACTAAATAATTATTACATTTTGCTTTTGCTGATCCAAAGAATTTGTCAAGATCTAGAAAAATGTGAACTTGTGAAAATGTGAAGTTGCAAGTATTCTTAAATAGATCATTTGGAAGGCCAGCTGTGGCCCCTGGGCCATATTTTTGACACAGATAGACTGATCACAGTAGAGGCTGTACCGGTCCGTCATGGTGAACAGGTGAGCAAGAGAGCTGAGTGTAAAAGCGAAGCTCTCGATTTACCAGTTGATCTGACAAGGATGCCTCCTAGATGCCTCCTGGGTGAGGTGTTCCAGGCATGTCCCACTGGGAGGAGGTCCCGGGGCAGATTCAGGACACGCTGGAGATATTGTATCACTCGGCTGGCCTGGGAAAACCTTGGTGTTCCCCCGGACAAGCTGGAGAAGGTGGCCGGGAAGAGGGAGGTCTGGGCTTCTCTGCTTGGGCTGCTGCCCCTGCAACCCGCCCCCGGATAAAGTGAAGAAGATGGATGGATGGATGGATGGATGGATCAGTCTATCATTTGTGGGTTTTGATAATGTCTTGTTCCCCTGCATAACAAGGCGTTCTTACTTATTCTACAAGGATTTTTTTTTGTAATAAGACTGTCAGGAACATTTTCTCCATACTTAGGAATGCTCTGATTCTGAATTTAGATCAGATATGGGTCCAAAAGTGAATCAAAGACACATGGATCTAAGGGGCCAGTCTATTGTTTATATCAGGATGCATCCGTGCACTGGATGCTAACTGGAGAGCTATCATGGGTAACAGCAAAGTGTTACCATTTTATAAACAATGTTTTCTCTGTTTGTGCCACAAAATAATTTGAATTGAGTTGACAAGACTCCCCAGCTCAGATGAAAATATTTTCTTTGGTGGTCATCACTGCTTTACCTGCGTCTCCTCAGCTCCTTTTCTAACCAGTAAAGACTCTCACACTGAGCTGAAATGAAATGACAGCAAATAAAAGAGGCGAATGACAACAGCAAAAATCATTTAACTTGGTTCTATTTACAATTATTATTTCACTGATAAATACCATTTTAGTACTTTACTTTTTGGATGTATTTATTTGTGAAACTTTATTAAAGCCATGTTTAAGTCAGGTCTTACAGAGAAAAGTCAGAGTGAGCAATACAGTCTTATTAGTTTAACACTGATAGTCTGAAGTAAAAAAAACAACAACAACAACAACTCTGGAATCTCCAACAGTCCTATGAAGAACTGTTCATCAGTCTGTTAGCAACTACCAGATTTCTCCAACATTTGTTGTTGTGTCTTTCTATTTGTTGGCTTACAACTGACTTTAGCCCTCTTTAGGGAACGTACACACAGAAACAACGTGGTGCACTTTGAAATACAAACAGAGCTGAACTGTTTGCCAAGTGGGTTTTTTCCCCCCTGGGGTCTTTTAATAGCTGATTCAGCTTTTTCTTTTTAAAAGAACTGATTATAAAGATAAGGTGAAGACAGTCTGTGATCCAAATGCTGACTTTCTCGCGAAACTCTCATGTGGCCCATGTCGTAGTATGAAATAACCAAAATTACTCTGTTTTTGGTTTTTAGTACTTTTATGGCCAGTTCTGTGCAGTTTGCTTCACGTGAGCTGAGAAAATAATCTGCATACTGAGAGCACTGGATCAAAGGTGTGTAAACAGACAAGATGTCCTTTGAAATGCAAACATAAACCAAAAGAACTGCAGGTTTAAAATGCTTATGCCTAATATTCCATATGAATTTTGACATAAAGTAACAAACTGAGTGTACCAAATACTGTATGTGTCAGTCAAATAATAATATTTAAAATGTTTTAAATCGTTTTGTATTCAACATGAAGTGTTTCAACTGCATTTATTCTCATTATGAAAAGTTAAACAGGCTCAATTAGTTGTTGCTAGTTTCTCTATTCTAAACTGTGATAATGTAACACTAAATAAAAAAGTGCCACTTTTTGGCTTACTGATGCATTAGACACAATTATGAGATCTTTTTATTACATATCAGACTAAGTTATTAGGCCTGCTGTTTACATTAGTGACTACTACTGGCATGACACACAGTTTGCCATCACTCAAGCTGTGGGCATAGACTGTAAATAAACAACAGCTTTAAGTGAGACTGGTTAGCGAGGTGTCGTCTTGAAGCTGTGAGCTGAACAGTTTTTTTTGCCATCACAGCCAAACTTTGCTTCCTGTTTAATATAACATTCAATTGTGAATTCCAAGCTAGAAAACTTGCACTTAGCTGATAACCCCTGGTACATATATGGCCACATCCAGTCAAAAGAATAATAATTTTTATAATAAGTTCAAGGCTTTAATATGCAGGTGGATGACATGCATGCATCTGTTTATGTGATGCTTTATTTATACATGTTTAGCCTGACCCCACAGTTTTGCAGCTGTCGCTGATAGAATCACCGATGCTTTTTAAAAGATGGAAATTTAAAACAAAACAGCGTAGCCCTTAATGGGCTAAGATTACGAGCATAGATATAGAGGCATGACACCAATTTACATATCTGAGCAAATGTGGCTTGTTTTAAGTAAACAAGAGTAGTAGTGAGTACTCCCAGCTGGATGTAGTGCAAACATCTGGGATGTTTTTGTTGCTGTTGTTGCTTCAAAATTTTACACTCCATAAAGAACTTTTTTTTTCTCATGACACCCAGTTTCCTCTGCACCAAAGACAGGTGTGGACATCACACCTCTTCCTTTAATAGTGAGTAGTCTGTACTGAAGCTCTCAGGATCACCAAGTGACACTTGACAGGAGGCACAGCTGACTCTCGTCTCTGCATCATAAACTATTTATCACTGCTGTCTTCTAGTTCATGTTGTGTTGGATTCGATGGAGTGTACTCCATTCTTCCTCGGGTATACTGCAGGGCACAATGAGGTCAGATATGGCATACCTGCTGGATCCCGGCAGGGATTTTATCTGCTGTCGGTCTATGCTTTGACACTGTTTGATTGATAGGCTTCCTTCTCCTGCAATCCTAAACCTTTTATCTCTGGTTACTGATTGACACACTCATAAATGTGTTTTGTACAAAATTAGACATTTCACGGGAGCACTCCAGCATTTTGCCGAATATATTTGTTTGCGCTCCCTCTCAGTCAGATTGCTTCATTTCTGTGACTGGAAGCAGGTGCACACTGCAAATAAAGGAAGCCCAGTCTCATTTGCATGTTGTGTTATGCTTATTTAACGCATGTAGGAACAGAGCAGTGTTTGTGCAAATATGGGGAAAAAACTTCAGGAATTTACATAAAGGAGTTTCTGCAAGAAAACCAAATTTGTCTTCGCCATAAACTGTAAAGGAAAGTTGAAATACACCTAAGTATTCACCAGCTTTTGTCTTTTAAGTTCTCCGTTTTGAATTTGTGTTTCCCTTAATTTACATTTTGTCTTTACACACTTAATGTGTAAAGATTGTGTTACTCAAAACTGCTATTCCACTCTCATTAACAGACACTGACTATGATTTTAGTTTGTTTGATTGTTCAGATTTGCAGAGTATTATTTCTTAATCACAACCAATAGAAACATTAAAAAATATCTTCACACTAGAAGCACTGAGCAGAGTGACAATATTATTTGGATATACACACTTGTCATTCATGCCATTTCATTCCTCCTCGGCCTCTTGATTCGTTCATTTATCTGTCAGTGAAGATGGTTTCACTTCCACACTGTGAAGGAAACACAGATGATGCTCATACATCATTCTTACGTCTCTAACATGTTGGGATGATGGAGGTTTTTATATAGTGCTAACTGCATGAAGTTATGATTGCTTTGGGTCTTTAAACCCTGTGAGTGTATTTGTGGGGTTTTTGTAACTAGTTTTGTTCATTTGGGTCTAAATGTGGCTATCCATCATTATATGATCGTTTTGAGTCTCTTTAATGTTATTTTGTTGTGTGTTTTTTTTGGTTCAATGTCATATTTTTTTTTAGAATATTTAAGGGCATTTTAAGCCTTCCCTTCAGAGTTTCACATTTCTTTGTGGTAATCTTAAACTATCTGATTAAGGTACCCAATAGAGTCTCTTGGTGGTGTGAAGGGTCTTCTGCCCTGGCCAGGTCTGCTGTGTGTTTCCGCCTGTTCCGCCTGTTTGTCCCTCTGTGCTGCCTTGCAGGTAGAAGCATAGTTAATCATAGCAATTGGAAACACCTGGACAGTCTCCCGGGAGCGTGTATGCTCTCTCTCCATTCACCCAGCGTTGTGCTATTTGTTTAGTTGGCTGTGGCTTGGTTATTTTAGTTTTTGCACCACACAACACCGCACACCTAACATACAAATACTCATGTAGCTCCTGACATGCTGATAACACAGCTTCACACATCCCATAAAGATTATCGCAGTTTCTGCTTCTTTTATTTAATAAATTAGAAAGTTCTAGTTAATTATGTGTCTCTTCCACCATTTTCCATGATTACAAAGGCTTTTTCTGTGCTTACCGTGAGTCTATTTGTGCTTAGTGTGCATGTGATTAGATCACTCTGCTCACTGCATAGCTCTTATCTTTGCAAGTTTTCATTGTGCTCTTGCAACGTGGCCTGTAATCATACAACCTTAACTGAAGGTTATCTGGTGCACTGTAACAGATTTACTGTTAAATTCAGGTACATATGTTTTCAACTCTGGTGACAGTAAACAGCATTTGGGCAGAAGTTTCAAATAGCAAGGTATGTTTATGCAAAAGAAAGTCAAAGGCTTAGGCTTCACTGCTCTAAACACTCAATTTCAGTAATTTTTTTCTAATCGTAGATCTGTGTGATGTCAAGCAGAGAGGGTTTTCTTTAACATGGTCATTGTTAAAGATCATTGTTTGGGCCTGTTTGTGAAGGGCAGCCAATCAGGGGAACGTTACCTTAAAGAGAGAGTGGCTGTAAAGAGGCAGAAGCTGAAAAAAAGGGGGGTTATTTCAGAAAGAGAATGGAGATAAAAAGTGTAATTTTAAAAAGTTAACAAGAATATCTTAGCAACAGTCTCAAAATGCAACCAAGCAATCTTTTGGGCAGCTCTGCTAAACCAATCTCTAATAATAAACTTTAATTTCGTACATGAAAGCTGAACATACAGAAACACTGGCCAGTTTTGATAAAAATAGCTTAAAAAATACTGATATTTGCCTTAAAAGGTGTTTTCTTTTTTAAACTGTCATAACCCCACTAAGTTATACTCTGTCATCATCTTTGTAGTCACTGAATTCAATAGCAATTCAAATTTTCTTTGAAGTTTAAATATCAAAGCAGCGATAGCAGTCCAAGAACAAAGACATCGAGCTGGAATTTAGTGGGCATCCAATCACTGACACTTGAGCTGATGCATAAACTATAAAACAAACACAGCAGCGCCCTCCTGCGGCCAACTAATTGCATTTTCTGACAGTAATTAAGTGGCATCTGAGACATTGGGAAGATGCATTCACAGTCGAAGGAAAACAAAACCATCTATTCTCTCTTTGAAAATAAACAGTAATGTGCTACATATCCATATATTACTGGGGCATTTTATTGTTGGGATTGAAATAAACCTTCCAAATGTGACTTTATGAACTTTATTCGTATTGTTTTTATTATTTTATGAAAACACAAGTGTAGATTTGTGATTATCGTGTTTTACTGTGCTGCGGGTGATAACAGCGAGCAGCCCTGTCAGATACTGCGAGCTGTCATTCAGTCTGTGTGGTAGTTTGTGAAGGAGCGGGCCTGATGCTCCGGTGCTCTCCGCCACACTGCGGCTGGCTGGCGCTCTGACAATGACTTGCATGCTGATTATTGTGGAGATCGACAAAGGAGACAAGGAAACGAGGAGATGAACCGTTTCCTGAGAGCTGGGGAGAATGGAGGGCTGCTGACAGACTGCAAGGAGCTGTCACCCAACCACACCGCCGCCTTCTCCTCCTCTTCCTCCTCCTCTGTCTCCATCACCTCCTCCTCCTCCTCCTCTTCCTTCAGTGCCGCTGGCTCAGCCGACAGACACGCGGCCCTGCCCTCGCTCCAGACCCGGACACCTGGCGGCGGCGGGTCGGAGCCGAGGAGATCCGCGCTTAAGCGTAAAGGAGTCGGCCGGGAGGGACGGGAGGAACCGGAGGCGGCTTCGGCGGATCACTCATCAGCGGCTGCTGTCGTGGTGCGAGGCGGCGGAGAAGCGTGCTTCGGGATCGGCAAGCAGCAACAGCAGCAACAGCGTCGGGAGGCTCAAGGACGCAGCGTCGCTGGAGAAGGTCTGGAGATGATTTCAGCGGTCAGCAGAGAGGCGGACGGTGGCGGCGGGAACGGAGTCTCCGAAGTGACCGCTCCTTCTGCGTCATGCGCCAAAGGCAAGGAGGAGAGGAAGGGGAAGAACATGATCCGGGGCTGGAAGAGGGAGCGAGACAGGGAAAGGGACGCCGCTGCTCCTCCTGCCCGAACGAGGAAGGAGAAGCCCGGTGGTGATGGCTCGTCTCCTCCTCCTCCTCCTCCTCCTCCCTCCGTCTTCCTCCCGTCGTCCGCCCTGCCCGCTCCCGAGCATCATCTGTGCCGCGACGGCTCCGGACACTGCCTGTGCGCCGCTCCGGACTCCAGGCTCCCGGGAGATATCAGCAACGTAAACAATAACAACAATAGTAACGGTGCCGCCGCCGTCAGCACCGGGAAAACCGCGCTGGAGTGTGGAGTTAAAACCGGCGCTATTGTTGTGAGACGGCAGCAGGACGACACGCCGGCCGCCAAGAAGCACAGAGGAGCCGAGAAGGTGAGCCTGCTTTTATTGTCTGGGGGGGAAACAACAATGCAACACGGCAACAAAAGAAGCACACCTGCAGGAAGCTGCCTTTAATTTAGCCTAACGCGGAAATAAAAGGAGGGAGGCGGTCAGTCAGATGCAGGTGTAGAGGCCACAAAGGAGCAGCAGACACTCAGAATGGTTAAATGCTGCCACATGATATTTATTTGCCATTGTTGTTGCCCAGCTGGTGTCATTGTTCCCGCTCTCTGTGTCTGTGTTGATGTTTACCAGGCTGAGATTTCCTTTTTCTTTTTGGAGGGAAGATGAAGAAAAAAGGAGGAGGAGGAGGGAGGAAGCAGCAGCAGCAGCAGCAGCAGTGTGTCCTCCATCTCCATCCTCCTCCTCCTCCTCCTCCTCTTTCTAGAGCCATTTAATTCAGTGCTCCTTGTTTTTCCTGGAGATTAGAGGAGAAGGCATGTGCATCAAGAACTCAGCAGTAAAGGGAATTAAAATGTGATGCTGTAATATAACAAAATGGCAAATGTCATTGTCCATCATGGTGAGAGCAACAACAAAGTCACATTATTTTATTCAAGCAGACTTATTATGCTTTTCATTATATTTGTCAGGTGTTGACTGCTTATATGCAAAAGTTTCAGATAATGACATCAGTGTGTTTACAAGTAGCTCCTGTGAGCCAAGAGCTATAAATGCTGCATTTAAGATACTTTGTTTTACTGTTTCTGCATGATGTCATAAAGAAGGGTCATTATTCCTACTAATTTAGGCACACAAGCACAACTCACCTTCTGTTTCTGAAATGCAGCCAATCAGTTGAAAGTTGGCTTAAAGGGGGAGGGGCTAAAACAACTGGTTAAAGAAAAGGCATAGTATAAGATAAAGAAGGCTTAATTTAACCTTCCAGAAGCATGTCTTTAAGTCTGGCAGCTTCTAGGCAGTTATTGTAAAGCTTTATCTAAATCAACTTGAATTTCAGTGGTCACCTCAAGATAAAGCCTGCATGTCGCACCAGCTGTCAAATGTGATGGATAGAGCTTGAAGAAGTTCATTCATTTTACCTGAAAGTACTGGTTTTAAATAATCCTTCCCAGGTGCACCACCAACTTAGGAAAACAGAGAATAAAAATTAGC